AACCAGTCGACAAAAGACAGTGAGATGGAACCTGCAACGTGCTAAAGCAACAACACATTCCAAGCTAAAATCCTATATTTAGTGGAAGAGTATCTTCCAAAAGGAAAGGCAAAATAGAGATATCTCCAAAGTGGAGAACCTGGAAAGTTCAGTTACTAACAGATCTGTACTACGTGAGATTCTGAAGGAAATTCTTCAGACTGAAGGGAAATGGTCCCAGATAGAAATCAGGATGTGAAGAAGAAATGAAGAACACTAGGAATAATAAAGTACGTGGCTAAATTTAAAAGAATTTTTTTTTCTTTTAATATGCCAGAGGCCAGACACACAAGAGAAGCAGAGAGAATGCACCCTCAGAGGGGCTGCAATCCTTTTTCCTCCAGTTCTCACTGTGTCACGATCCTGCACACGTGCCCAGCATATGAGCTGCTGGGGCCAAGACTCAAACCCTGGCTGGTCACATGAGGTCTGACTTCCCTGCACAGTGCTTAATCACTGCACTACAGGGCTGGCCCGCTGAAAGACAGTTTTTTTTTTGTCTTAAATTCTACAGTGTGAGGCTACTTAACTCTGAGGTTATGGTGTCCTTATATCACAGTATAATTCACTATTAAATCTAAAATAAACTGAGGGAATTAAAGTAAAGTTTCAACTTATCACATTGTTAACCATTTCAACGTACTTAAAAAAGCCTTCTTCTTTTTTTTTTTGTTGTTGTTGTTAAAGAGATTTTTGCTATAGGGCATATGTACTTTCTAGAGAGACAGAAAGTGAGAAATCACCCACCAGGGAGGTGGCCATGCTGCATTCCCTTCTCCTCCATTCTCCTCCTGAGATTTTTGGGCACACACACACACATATGTACACACACACACACACACACATGTACACACAAGCACACATGCCTGGTTTGAGTTTCAAGCTGCCAGGTTCAGGACTCGAATCTAGGGTGGCCATACGAGAGTCCAGCACCTTAACTACTATGCCACCTGGTGGTCCCTAAAACCCCTAATTCTTTCTTTTCTTTTTCTTTTTTTTTTTACAATTACTTTAACTTTATTTATTATTATTATTATTTTAATTTGACCAGAGAGGGAGAGAGAAAGTGAGAAAGCAGGCTGCCAGGACCAGGACTTGAACCAGTCGGCCATGCGGGGGAGTCAAGTGCCTTTAACTACTGTACTACCTAAAACCCCTAATTCTTAAAAATATCTTTTTGTTATCGATGCCTCTACCTGCTAGTGCCTTAGACACATGCTTGATTTGGTTCCTAGGCTCTCCAGCCCTGGCTGACGGCTAGCCAAGAGCATCGGACGGAGGGACCACATTGCAACATCATGGCGCACCTGGCAGTGCCAGAGGCCCAGCTCAAGCCAGGATGACCAACCTCCAGGGGTGTCCTGGGTTGTGGGACCTCCAGTGCTGTAACAGGGACAGTTCCAGACAACCTGTGACAACTGGTCATCCTCACTAGGACCCAGAATGAGAAGCTGAAGAAAAAGGTGGCCCGAGAGCAGCAAACATGGAGTTTGCTCTGAGCTAGAAAGAAAAAGGCCAAAAAGTGTAGGCGACTTATCTCTTCAAAACTAGATAACTTTAATTAAAATGAGAATTCTTACTTCTTCCTCTCTCCCACACTGTGTCTTGTGTTTAACAGACAAAGACAATATGTCCCCCAGGAGCTGGCACATCATGAAGGTGCAAACACGACAGGAAGAGCAGCAGTCACGCTTGGCAAGGGAGGGCTGGCAGCTCAGACAAAGCAGCTCTCAGATCTCCTCCAGGGGGCGTGGCTCACTGACCTGTGACCTACTTGGCTAGCATGGGAAGGGACAGGGAACTAAGAATAGTTTTTTTCTTTTTTTTTTGTTACAGGGCATGAATGCTAGCCAGAGAGAGAGTAGGAGGGAAAGTGAGAAATCACCCCCGTTGGGAGAAGGTCATGCCATAGTCCTTCTCCTTCTGCCTGGATTTGGGGCAAGCATGCACATGCACTCAGCGTGATTTTCAGGTGTGGGTCCAGGACTCAAACCATGCAACTGGCCATGTGGGACCCAGTGCCTTAACCACTACTCTACCTGCTGGCCCAAGGGAACTGAGAGTTCTTACTTTACTTCTCTGGGGTAATTCTCACCACCAGCCTGCTAGGTATGAATTATTAGCCTGTTACTTATAAGGAAATGAAGACTCATAAAGGTTGAACCACTCACTTGCTTACAAGTAGATCTGGAATTTTACGCCATGGAAGTCTTCCTCCAAAGCTTCTGCCTGGTGCCTGGAGGCAGCCTTATGACCCAGGAGATGCGCAGATGGGAGTGTGTGGGAGATACAAGGGAAGATGCCGACGCAACACTAACACAAGTCAGGGAGGAATGAAGACCTCAAGACTGCAGAACTTCCTAGCTGGTAACTACACTTCTCCCCTAAGACAGGGTTCCCAAACTTGGCAAAACCGAGATGTGTGGGAACACAGGTTGACCCATATGCCAAGTAAACATAATGCACTGAAAATGGTGCTCGGGCAGCTGGAGAAAGGGGGAAGGGGACTAGTAAGAGGACCAGATGTCTGATGGCTTCTTCTGAGGGCTACACTCCAGGCTCTCAGGGTACTTCTGGACTGACTCCATCTTTTCATCAAATGGCCTCTGGGAAAGTATATAAAATATTTAAATGCTTATACAGCTAAATGTGATCTATTTAAAAGAAGGAAAATTTGGCAAGAAAAACCTGCCATAAGCTAAGCGTCACGATTTTTAGGTGATGTAATGGAAGAGCACTGAGTCTTAAGTTTAGATTTACCTACTGGCTAGGAGACCCTGGGCAAGTGGAGCCTTTCTGCATCTGTTTATTTACATATAAGACAGAAACTGAATATCTTGTGGCTGGCAGGTGGCGTGGTGGTTAAGGATGCTAGACTCCCACATGGTTGACTGCGGTTTGAGTCCTGGATCTGGCAGCTTGCTTTCTCACTTTCTTTCCTTCTCTCTCTGTTCCTCTCTGGCAAATGGAAATAAATAAATAAAATACATTTAAATAAATTAATTCTTAAAAAAAGAAAAGGAAACTGTATATCTTGCTGATCTCCATGGTAGCCTTGAACTCAAATTTCCTCATCTATTAAATGAGGGCTTTAGGCCAGCCTTTCCTTTTCTTTTCTTTCTTATTTTTTTTTAAGTTTATTTCTTCCATGAGTGAGAGAGCGAGATAAAGCACCCCCATGTGAGCCTGCCTTACAGAGCACAGCATTCTACTTTGGTGCCTGGTCCAGACCCCACTGTTTGCAAGTATTGAATGGAATTCGCAGGCATGATCAGCAATGCATGCACCGTTTCTGAAATGATCTTTTTTGCTTGTTTGTTTTAAGGCTACATGAGGCAGGAGCTTTGTGTCTGGTATGCTCAGAGCCCAGAATGGTGCTCGGCACACAGAACTTCTCCATGACATCACTACAGCAGTTCTTTCAAGGTTGTCAATGACCATCACATCATCAAATCTGAACGACAACTCGGTCTCTATTCAGCACCTGGTGAATTCTTTAAATCAGAGATTACTCCCCTGATTAACATTCTTCAATGGCCACCCTTGTATTCAGAATAATATCTAACCCCTTCCCATGGTCTCCATGTCTTGTATGATCTGGGCCCTTCTACCATATTATGTTAGTCTCTGTACTCCAGGGACAATGGCTTTGTGTCTAGATCATGCCAAGCTATTTTAAAGCTCGGGGCCTTTGCATTTGGTGCTCTGTCTTTTTTTTTTTTGGAGAGGTTTTTGCTATAGGGCGCGTGCGCTCGCCAGACAGACAGAGAGAGACAGAGAGATAGAAAGCAGGAAATCACCCCCCAGGGGGGATGGCCACGCCGCAATCCCTTCTCCTCCATTCTCCTCTCGGGATCTTGGGCACGCACGCACACGCGCCCGGTGTGAGTTTAAGCCACCGGGTCCGGGACTCGAACCGCGGTCGACTACATGGGAGTCCAGCGACATAGCCATTACGCTAACTGCTGGTCCCCATTTGGTGCTCTGTCTTGAAGGGAACTTCCACAAGTTCCCTACTTGGCTATCAGCTGGCTCCTTAGTACAGCATGGTATTCAGGAACAGATTTTGAAATCGGGCTGGTTGAGTTCCAATTGTGGCTCCACCATTACTACCTGCATGACCAGGCAAGTTACTTAACCTCTCTGGGCCTATTCCCTCATCTCGAATTAGAGAAAGCAGTATGTACCTCATCAGCTGCAGAATTCTAGTGGATGGAGCAGTGCTGGTACGTGACGAGCAGCACCATGGTCGCTGCCTTTCAGCTCAGTCACAGCCTGCTCAGAGCCCTGTTCTTTATCACAGCTCCCAGTCCTCCTCATGACTGTTCTTTATCACAGCACCCAGTCCTTCTCACAGTGAAGACAAGGAATTTGTCTTATTTATTGTTATAAGCTAAGCACTCCATGCAATGCCCAATACAGGAAAGGTACTCAACAAATGTATGCTGGATGTCTAGAAAACTGACTAGTGCCACTGTTTTCTTGCCACTTGCAAGAAAGGTTAGGTGCTGCGTCAAAGCGGAAACAGAGAGAGCTGGAATATGGACCCTACTTCTAATCACCGAGCTCGGCTGAGTGGTGAGGAGGTGTTTTGTAAATAGCAAGTTGTTACACCACTCATGCTCTTATTCTCTTCGTCCAGATCACTCCTGTGTCAGCCTCCGAGGCGGCATCTCCCGTCTGGGGCACCCTCCATGCACACCTACCTTTGCATGGTTGGTGCTCCCACAGCGCTCAGTATGCAGTTCTTGGCTGACTCCTGCTTCCATGCTCTGCACAGTTCCCTCCTTCCACATGTCAACTTTGACTGACTATGCAATGCCTCGCACGGTCACATTTGTTCTTCACTTTTCCTGAGCTCCCTGCCCTTTCCAGGAGAAAGGCCCAGCAGCTCTGTCTACATGTTTATGGAAGAGATGACCATGCTACAGGAGAGAGGGAAGTCAGGGCTGTTCTCTTACCTCTTTTGTAGTGGCCGGTGGTGGCAGGGCTGCAGACAGTGAAAGCATCCGCATGGAGGCCTCCAGCTGCTGCGGAGGCAGAAAGAAGTTGGGCACCACGATGGGCTCAGTGCTATAACGGCAGTTAAGGACAAAGGTACCTAGATGCCTACCCTCTCAGATCAGAATCTCCACTGACCCAAGTCAACCCCATTTACATTTTCCCACCAACTTATACCTGCCCATGAATCCCTTGTTCAAGTGGTTCCCTCTGACTGGAACCACTCCTAACAAGTCAGTCTACACTTTCTTTATGGATTCCTTCAAATCATGTCTCCTCTAAGCAGCCTTCCCTAACCTTAGCGTACAGTGACCCCTCCTTCTTCCTATCCTGGAGCAGAATCTACAGTACAGAATGCTCAGTTATCCGATACGATTCTCAACTCGTTTCCCTTAAATTTCCTGAGTTTCTCAATGGCAGAGACAGTTTAATTTCCTTGTGACCTTCCTCCCTCCTGAGAGCCCTGCATGAGGCCAGCGGTACCAAGTGTTGATGATCCTTGTTGGGGGCAGATTTAAACCTGACCTGTCAGAGGTTGGTAACAGGGTGGGGCTGAGAACATGCTGCGGGAGCAGCACCTTAGACTACATGGAGGAGCCTGGCACCTTAGTACACCCGTCCTCCTGGCTGTTCTCACTCGCTCCAGAAATGAGGGCTCTGCTCAGGGGCTGTCTGTGGGTGCAGCTGGCCTGTGCCATCCAGATGGGAGTTCTAGAAGGCAGGTCCCACACCCTGTACTTTTTCTGTGTATCTTCTTCAGGTGCTCAGTGCGGAGAACATGGCATTCCACAAACACATTTTAGGTCAAATCACTGATTCAGTTTGGCTGAATTTTGAGGCAGGTAAGGAGGGGATCGTTTTCCATGTTTTGGTTTCTGTTCAATAAGTGAAGTATAGTTCTGATTCAAATTTGTTTACTAAGTTTTCTATTTTAGCGTCATTCGTCCATCTAGACTGTTAACTCCAGGACAGTCAAAGGGAGAGATGACCTCTGCCCTTTCCACAGCCATGTTCCTGTCTCCTAGTTCAGTACCTGGGACACAGTAAGTGCTCTGCAATGTCTACTGAATGAATGATAAGCACCTGTTGCCTACTTTGGTTCAAGTCCCCAACTTTTCTGTTGAGAGGTGGGAGTTGAGTGGAGAGCTCAAAAGGAAGCTTGCTCTTCCCCAAGCCTTCTGCAGGGGCCAGGAGAGGCCGACCTATTTGCTGTGTGGCTCTGCCTACTGGGGCTCTGCCTGACACGAGCCAGTGCTGTGGGGAAGGAACCACTTTGCTGTGAGGTGTCAGGAATGGGTCTCCTTCCCAGAAGCTCTTCTCAGTCTGTCTGCTTTAGGGTTCTGTTCCAACAGTCAACTTCTCTCTCCAGCTTCTAAGTTCCTTCTCAGTTTATGGAAATGCTCATCTTCCATTTAGGAAAACAACCCCGAACCCTGACCTTGCATTTATTCCCTTCTAGTTACCATTCAACTGTCCCTTACTAAATGGGTAACTTCAGGAACATTTATTTTGTGTCTCATTTTCTTTATCTTCAATATGAACATAAAATTAGACATAAAAACAGTACCTGTAGGGACCAGCAGTTAGCGTAATGGCTATGTTGCTGGATTCCCATGTAGTCGACCGTGGTTTGCATCCCAGACCCAGTGGCTTAAAACTCACGCTGGGCGCGTGTGTGTGCGTGCCCAAGATCCCAAGAGGAGAATGGAGGAGAAGGGATTGTGGCGTGGCCATTCCCCCTGGGGGTGATTTCTCGCTTTCTGTCTCTATGTCTCTCTCTGTCTATCTGGCGAGTGCACGCGCCCTATAGCAAACACCTCAACAAAAAAATAGTCTATACATGTCAAGTGCCTAGAATGGTGCCTGCCAGCGGCCAGCAGATGGTGTAGCAGTTATGTCACTGGACTCTCACATGGCTGACCGTGGTTCGGGACCCAGACCCATTGAAAAATACTACGTGTGTGTATGTGTGTGTGTGTGTGTGTGCATGCACACACACACAAGATCCTGGGAAGAGAATGGAGGAAGAAGGATTGCACATGGCCATCCCCCCTGCGGGGTGATTTTCGCTTTCCTTCTCATTATCTCTCTCTTTCTCTCTCCTGTGAGCACACGTGCCCCAAGGTAAACACCTCTTAAAAAAGTTTCTGCCATGCCGAACACTCAATGTCAGTTCCCTCTCCAGCTTGTGGGAAAAACTGCCTATTCTAGCTGTCCTTATACTAGTTCTGTTACCCATTCAAGCTTGACTCCACTCCTACACAACATCCTCCCTGATGCTAAAACCAGTGGTCACACACAAGCCCTGCTCTCCTGAACCTGTCAGCATCAGACTGCCAACGACCACTTCCTGAAGCCCTAGCTCTCCACAGCCGTGCCCCTACACAGCCACCTCCCCACCCCATCAGCTCTCCTGTCCTTTACACACAGGCAGGTCTCCTTCTGCTGGCCCCCTGGACGCTGCCCTGAGGACTGTGTGTAGCGGTCTCCCTTTCCAAACTCTTCCGCAGCCCGCATAGGTTTGCAGAGATGCCTGCTTTTAGTTCATCTCATGCCTGCACTCCCTCCTGGATGTCCTACAGGCACGTGTACAAAACAAAGTCCAACGCTGATCCCCAAACCTGTCTCTTTCTGTGCCGTTACCTATCTGATAAAGGACATCACTGATGTGGCAAATTCTGACAGAAGTATTATAGCTAGGTCATCCTGGAGTTCCTTCTCCCATCACCTGCCCCTCTCTCTAATCCTCTCAGATCTAGCCCCTGTTCACCATAAAGAAGTCTATGCTTTAGGCCGGCTCTCCTCATTTTATTATTACTACAAGTTCCCTAACTGTTCTTCCGGTTCTGGTCTCCCCTGATCTAATTCACCCTCTGCCTGGTACGCAGTAACTTCTCTAAAATGTAAATCTGACCACATCACACTCTTGCTTAAATGCACAGTTAACATCTACCAAGCGTTGTTTATGAAGCCGACACTGTGCCAGGTAGCTTCCATCAAGAACGCCATTTTTGCATCCCTGCAGGTACTTTTACTCCCTCCATTGTACAGAGGAGGAAATTCTGTTTATTTGCATACAGGACAAAGGCCAAGCGGCTCAGTCAGGCACATACATGCTCTCAGGTCCTGGCCTGCCTCACGGCTCACCACCACCCAGCCCTGGCCTGTAGCCACAGTTAACCAACTGTCCACTGGGTGGGCCTCAGTACACATGGCTGCCCTGTCTGGAGCTTCCCGTTTCTGCCTGCAGGAAGAGTGTTCAGCTTTGGGGTCAGCCCTCACGTCTCTCACTGAGATCCTCTGAGCAGAGCTGCAGCAGCTCCCTCGCATCCGGCCATGTCTCACCCCTGCCACTGCCTGTTTGCTTGCCTGTCTCCTGCCTCATGATGGGGACTTCGCATGGTAGGGTATGACTCAAATCTGCCCTCGGTATCCAGCACAGGACAGGGTCTGGCAGGCCTGAATCACAGCAGCCCCTCCACTGGCCATGTTCTGAGCACAGCTGAACTGACCATGAAGGAAGCAACGTCAGGACCTGGGGTGAGGCCAAGAGGAGCTTCACTGAAGCTGGTCTGTTTTCGGCGCTCAGCTTCCAGCCCTTCGACTCACTCTCCTGTTGTTAGGGTTTTCTACAACCTGCATCAAGAAGCACATCTGTTGGTGTGCACAAGTGTTCCCACTCACTGGTTTTCACCAAAATCCCATGAAACTGAGAGTTCATGGGAACCAGCAGTTAGTGTAATGGCTATGTTGCTGGACTCCCACGTAGTTGACCACGGTTTGCGTCCCGGACACGGTGGCTTAAAACTCACACCGGGTGCGTGTGCGTGCGTGCCCAAGATCCCGAGAGGAGAATGGAGAAGGGATTGTGGTGTGACCATCCCCCCTGGGGGGTGATTTCTCGCTTTCTGCCTCTCTGTCTCTGTTTGTCTGTCTGGTGAGCGCACGTGCCCTATAGCGAAAACCTACCCCCCCCCAAAAAAAAAGAAACTGAGAGTTCAGCTCAATCTATACTTATTGATCCCCTTTCTGGACAGTGCCAGCTGCTGGAGACAGAAAGCCAAGATCCCTGACCTGGGAAGCGGACAGCCTGGTGAGTCAGGGATTGCCTTCCTCCTGTAGGTGCAGAAAGGTTAAACTGTATGTTGGACGTCACATAAGTAATACCAAGCTGGGTCCTCCAGGAAGATCTCTGGTTAGTAAAGCAGCTGCTTCACCCACTGGCCATGCAATGCTGCTGAGACTCCAGGCCAGAAAACCTGAGCAGCTGGTTAGGATATGGAGGTGAAAGTGGTAGCTGATCCTAAATGCCCCTTCTTCCTGAAGCAGTGTTATCCTGGAGGCTTGGGCAAGTCCGTCTTTTTTTTTTTTTTTTTTTTTTGCTATAGGGTGTGTGCGCTCACCAGAGAGACAGAAAGCGAGAAATCACCCCCCAGGGGGGATGGCCACACTGCAATCCCTTCTTCTCCATTCTCCTCTTGGGATCTTGGGCATGCACGCATACACGCCCGGAATGAGTTTAAGCCACCAGGTCCGGGACTTGAACTGCGGTTGACTACATGGGAGTCCAGTGACACAGCCATTACACTAACTGCTGGTCCCCAGGCAAGTCCAGCTTTTTTTTTTTGTTTTTTGGAGGTTTTTGCTATAGGGCGCATGCGCTCGCCAGAGAGAGACAGAGATAGAAAGCGAGAAATCACCCCCCGGGGGGATGGCCATGCCGCAATCCCTTCTCCTCCATTCTCCTCTCAGGATCTTGGGCATGCGTGCACGCACACGTGCCCGGCATGAGTTTAAGCCACCGGGTCCGGGACGTGAACCACAGTCGACTATGTGGGAGTCCAGCGACATAGCCATTACGCTAACTGCTGGTCCCGGCAAGTCCATCTTAATGGTGCCCACCTTAGTTCTATCACTTGTCTTTTTAAAAAAGATTAAATCTTATAACATGAGCCTCAGTTTCCACACTTGCGTAATGGAGATACTTATATAAGACTTGTGATAGCTGAATGACTAATGTATATGAAGCACCTGGCCCCTCAGTAAATGGGCACTCTTCCTCCCTCTCTCTCTACACCCTGCACTTCTATTTCTACCGAGAGTAACAGTCTCATCCCTTAGATCCAGGTGGTGAAATACCTAACAGATAAAGCAGTTAAGTCAGGGCTGGTTAGGCTAATCAACGTGCTGGCAAAACCTAAAGCTAGTTCAAAGCATTGTGCCTCAGAGGGCTGGTGTGACAGCAGGATTGTAGCACCTGTCACCAAGTGCATGCTCAGTATCACACTCGGTTAGCACCAGCTTCCCAAATCCCTTGAGACAGTTTAAGGGGCCACTAGTGGGAAACACCAAAGGATACAGGAGGAGGCTCTGATTTGTAGACACCGCTGATTTGGCTGTAACCTGCTTCTGACTGACGTCAGAGGAGTCGATGGGTGGTCCCTTGTGGTTCTCTCTTTTGTTCTGGGAGGCAAGGTGTACAGGGAGCTTCTCAAAGCTATCGGCAGAGTCACTGAGCTCACTGGAGGCAGTTTCATTCCCAGCCTGGGCTTCTGGCTTGGATTCCATGTTGTCTGCCCTGGGTGAGTTGCACCCAGCCAAAGTGTTGCTCTGCCGGGCTCCTGAGAGTGTCAGGCATGGGGCAGGCTTAGGATTGGCTGAGGCAGGCTCTCCAACCCTGGCCTTAGAGGCCCTGCCCTCACAAGCACCAAGACTTGAGCCGAGAGAAGCCTTTCTGGACAAAGGGGGGTTGATAGCCTTTTCTGGATTGGACAGAGGGCTACTCCTGACTGTGAGCTTTTCTCTGGGGAAAGACTCTGGAGAAGGACAAGAGGGGCCCTCCCTCTGCACCTCATCAGGCTGAGGGCTGATAACCTCACTTGTGTCTGACACAAAACTGGACCAAGGGCTAGTTTTGTCTGTCACGGTGGTAATCTCATTTAGGGTCCTGGGCTCAATGATGTCTTCTTCATAGTCCTCATCACTGTACACTGGGCCTTCGTCTGTGTCTTCACTGCTCTGCATCCTCGTAATGGGTACTGTATGTACCAGGGGCTTGTGGAGCTTTCCTTTTCTGCCTGGAGACCCTTCAAGAGCAGGGGGAGGTGGGGAATTTGTGCCTTCATCAGGAGCTCTTGCCAATGGCTGGTCTGGAGATGAGCCTCGTTCTTGAATTTCCTCTGTGTCCTGAGCATCTGGTGGGGTGATGACCTCTCTGCTTCTACTGCTGGTTTGGTGAGAACTCAAAGCTGCTTGAGAATTCCTGGTGATAGTCTGCAGATCTGAACAGCAACAGATAGTACTCTTACTACAAGGCAGGACGACGGACCGCTCTTTCCCCACTCTAGCCTCTAGCTTCAGAAGTGTTCTTGCAATCAGACTTAACAAACCTCAAAGACAGTTAATCCACCCAAGAGTCAGTGAAACTATATTCAAAGCAGTATAATTTCTAATACTTTATTCTAAAATCAAGAGGACCAAAATCTAATCTATTTATAGTTGTGGACTCATCTGTGGAAACGCTTTCAGAGACTATCTGCTCATGCTCACGAATCTTGGGAGCTGGGAGTCCTGGCGGGTATGTTCATGCTTCCATTTACTTCAGTAATTACCTATATTGAAAACCAAAATGAGAATCCACTTATTTACCTATTTGATGACAGTTACTAAAACTACCTACTTTACTTGGAAATTAAAAGCAAGAAGCTCTCTCTCACCCACGTGAAAAGGCTGGGGAGGTTCACAGAGAACGTGGAGCAGCAGCGTGTGTTGGAAAGAGCACAGGCTTCGTAGTCAGATAATCTTGGGTTCAATCTCTACTGTCACTTGCCACCTTTGTGACCCTGAGCAGCTACCCTCTCTATACCTGTTTACCTCGACAGTGTGATTAACACTGCCCGTTTCTCAGGGTTACAGAAAGGAATATACACACGTTGGATGGTACATACACAGGCACTTAGTATAATATTGGGTCGTTGGAAAAGCCATATGTTTTTCTATGCAAAAATGTGTCAGGACTTTTCCGACAACTTAACAGAAGTAATTGGTGATAGATTATTTTGGGGATGAAATGGACGAATAAATGAACATGCCTAGTAAATAATACACACTTGTGTGATTACTTAAGAGGAGAAAGTTAGGAATTGGGAGGCAATTAAAAAATATTTTTTTGCAATAGGGCGTGTGTACTCACCAGAGACATAATGAGAGGGGGGAAAGTGAGAAATCACCCCCCAGGATGATGGGGATGGACACGTTGCAATCTCTTCTCCTCCATTCTCCTCCTGGGATTTTGGGCATGCGTGCACACATGCCTGGCATGTTTTTTAAGCTACCAGGCCCAGGACTTGAACTGTAGTCAGCCTAGTGGGAGTTCAGCACCTCAACCACCATGCTACCTGCTGGCCCCTGGGAGGCAATTTTGATCCCTGGGGAACTGAGGTCATAGCTCCCTCATAGGATCCAACACAGGGCTCAGTCTGTAGGAGGTACTGGCTGTTTTATACACTGAACATTTTTTTTTTTTTTTTGAGAGATTTTCACGTAGGGTGCGGGGGCTCGCCC